TTCTCTGAGGAAGGTGAGGGCATCGGGGAGGTGACAGGGACCACGGGGCACGGCAGGTCTCGGGGGACCTCACATCCTGCTGTGTCTGGCAGGGCTGGAGTACAACCTCATCCGGCTCCCCATGGCCAGCTGCGACTTCTCCCTGCACGCCTACACCTACGATGACGTCCCCTACGACTACGAGCTCGCCCACTTCAGCCTGCGGGACGAGGACACCAAGCTGAAGGCGAGCGCTGGGAGGGAGCAGGGTGGTGTGTAGGGTCACAGGGGCTGAGCTGAGCTGGCCCCTCTGTCCCTTCCCGCAGATCCCCCTCCTGCACAGAGCCTCGGCCATGAGCAAGCAGCCRCTGTCGCTGTACGCCAGCCCCTGGACCTCGCCCACCTGGCTGAAGACCAGCGAGTCCTACGTGGGCAAGGGGACACTGAAGGGGGAGGCGGGGGACAGGTACCACAAGACCTGGGCCAACTACTTCATCCGGTGAGGAGCGGCCGGGACAGGGGGCGATCCTGGGGATGACACTGGGGACTCCTCATGGCTCACCCCTTCCCCTCACACCTGCAGGTTCCTGGATGAATACGCCAAGCACAACCTGACCTTCTGGGCAGTGACRGCRGAGAACGAGCCCACGGCCGGGCTSATCAACAACTACCCCTTCCAGTGCYTGGGCTTCACGGCCGAGCAGCAGCGCGATTTCATCGCCCAGGACCTGGGCCCGGCGCTGGCCAACAGCTCCCACCGCCACGTCCAGCTCATCATCCTSGAYGACAACCGGCTGCACCTCCCGCACTGGGCCAAAGTGGTGAGTGTGGCAGGGGATGGGTCAGGACGGTGACCAGGGCATGGCCTCTGTCCCTGGGGCTGCTCCGTCCTGTGGCTCTGCCCCACGGGACTGACTCCTGTCCCTGCCAGGTCCTGGAGGAYGAGAGGGCAGCTCGCTACGTCCACGGCATCGGCATCCACTGGTACCTGGACTTCATCGGTCCCATCCAGGACACGGTGCTGCCCACTCACGAGCTCTTCCCTGACTACTTCATCCTGGCCACGGAGGCGTGCATCGGCGCCCATTTCTGGGAGCGGGATGTGATCCTGGGCTGCTGGGAGCGGGGMAACCAGTACAGCCACAGCATCCTGACGGTGAGGCCCCTGTGCCACCCCGTGGGCCCCGGGGAGGGCTGCTCCCTGTCCCCTCAGCACCCACTCCTCGGGCAGGCAGCTGAGCTGTCCTGTTGCAGAATCTGAACCACTTTGTGGCCGGCTGGACCGACTGGAACCTGGCCCTGGACTTGGAGGGGGGCCCCAACTGGGTTAAAAACTACGTGGACAGCCCGATCATTGTGGACAGCAGCGAAGGAATCTTCTACAAACAGCCCATGTTCTACCACATGGGGCATTTCAGGTGGGTTGGAGCTGCCTGGGCTGCGGTGGCAGCTCATCCTGAGAGGAGCAGAGYGGATTTGGCATGAGGGGAACTCTGTGGGGTCTGACTCCCTCASCGGGGTTGCCTCTTGCTCCTGTCTGTGCAGTAAGTTCATCCCCGAGGGCTCCCAGCGCGTGGGGCTCTCTGCCTCCAAGGAGTCCAAGAAGACGGCGCTGGAGTACACGGCTTTYGTGCGGCCCGACGGGGCTGTGGTGGTGGTGGTTCTGAACCGGTGAGTGGCACAGCCCGGCCCCCCAGTCCCCATGGGACCCCTGTGTAGGGTCCTGTGTAGGACCCCTGTGTGGGATTCCCTGTGTGGGACCCCCATCCTGCCACCTCGACCACATGGKATTCCCTGTGTGGGACCCCCRTTTCTGCCACCCCCACCATGTGGGATTCCTTGTGAGGGACCCCCATCCTGCCACCCTGACTGCATGGGACCCCCTGTATGCCACCCTCACCGTGTGAGACCCCTGTCCTGCCACCCACCCCGTGCAGGATCCCCCTCCTGTGACCCCTCCCTGTGTGGGACCCCCGTCCTGTCACTTCCCCCTGTGTGGGACCCGGTGTGTGTGACTCCATCCTGCCACCCCCTCTGTGTGGGGACCCCTGTCCTGCCACCCTTCCCTGTGTGGGACCCCCATTCTGCCACCCTTCCCTGTGTGGAACCCCCATTCTGCCACCCCCATCCTGCCACCCGTTCCTGTGTGGAACCCCCATTCTGCCACCCTCATCCTGCTACTCTTCCCTGTGTGTGACCCCCATCCTGCCACCCTTTCCTGTGTGTGACCCCGATCCTGCCACCCCCATCCTGCCACCCTTTCCTGTGTGGGATCCCCATCCTGCCACCCTTCCCTGTGTGTGACCCCCATCCTGCCACCCCCCGTGGGGTACCCCACCCCGCTGTGCGGTGGCTGGGTGCCGCAGATGTGACCACCCTGCTCTCGCCCCCCAGCTCCCCGCAGGACATCARCTTCGGGCTGGCCGACACCGTGGGCCTCATAGCGGCCGTGGCTCCGGCCAACTCCATCCAGACCTACCTGTGGCGGCGGCAGTGACGGGGCCGGGACGCCCATGGCCGGCCAGGGGCCGGACGCAGCCGAGCCGGACRCGCAGCCCCAGCTGCCCGCGGGCTCGGGCCGGGGCGCACGGGGGAGGCGGCTCAGCGGGGCCGAGTGCTCGGAGCGCTCCCCGGAGACRCCGTGCGAGTGCAGGAGGGCCGGGGGGCAGCGATGTCCCTCAGGGTGGAGACCCCACAGGCTGCGAGCGCCGTGTTGTGCTGGTCTGACATTAAACACGGATGCTGCCTTGATGTCTGCGGCTGGAAAAGAAACGTCCGGGTCCCTCCCCTGCTCCTGGGCACCGTGGCTGGGTGCCACCCCGGCATGGAGCCTGCTGGAGCCTGGAGAGCAGTGCAGAGWGCCCGGAGTCTCATGGGGCAGCCCYTCTCCCTKCTCSCTCTGCCCACCCCACCTCACCTCACCCTGCRGGGAGATGCTCCAGACACGGGGCTGCTCCCAGCTCCAAGCGTGCGCCGCCTGGCTGRGGCTGAGCAGAGCCTGGGTGCTCTCCTGCTGCGTTTGGGATCGGGTTTTAGGACCGAGAAARTGGCTCAGGATTCACCCTGAATGCCGATGCTGTGGGTGCTGCATCGCGAGCGGGGACAAAACACTTGATGGAAGGGCTGAGTGGACATTGYGGCCAAGCTTCATCTTTCTGTGCTTTTCCTGCCGAGCTGAAGCCACTCACAGCCCAGAGGGGTCACATCTCCCCCAGACCGAGGCCCCTGAGGCCAGGGCCAGCTCCAGGAGCGTCRCCGCATGCGGGGCTTGGGGTCCCAGGGCAGTGCCAGCTGCTCCTGGGGGGCTTTTCCAGGATAAGAACACTGCTCAGGCTGCAGCRACCCTGCCTGGAGCCGCTGTGGGATCGGGGCCGAGGGGTYCCCRCTGTGGTGAGGARGATGGGGCTCAGCACCCACCACARAGCTGGRRCGGCTTGAGCAAGTGTGGGCAGCGCCGCGAGTGGGTGCTGAGTGTGGGCGCACCCAGGAAGGAGGGCGGGGAGCTGGCAGGGCGTGGGAGCAGGAGATTAGGGCAGGGAGGTCATGATTTCAGGGCGAGGAGGGCTGAGCCGCGCAGGCGGGAGGTGCCCGCGGGTGCTGTCAGGACTGACAGCCGCGATCCTGCGTGGGCTGGCCACGGCCCGGGCGCGGTCACTGAGTGCCAGTGTCACCCTGGGACACTGCCACGCCACGGTTCCCACAGGGACGCTGCTCCCGGGGGACCCCGCAACGCTTGGGGGTGCTGCCGGAGCCCTGGGGAGAGCGCCCTGCTCCTGCCCCGAGGCTGTTGGTGTTTGTCCACAAGAGGGAAATGTTTCTCCAGGATCATCGCCGCGGCGGGTCCCGCTGCAGGCCGGCACCGTGCTCCCGTCACCCCGCTGCCCGCGTCCCCATCCCGCTGCAGGGCTGCTCCTCCACCTGCTCCTCGCTTACCTGCGCTGCTGGCCGGATGCTGAATCAGCCCGGTCCACGTGCCCTCGTCCCTGCGCTCGGCTCGGAGCTGAAGGACGGACTGGCTCCGGCAAGAGATGGAGCGGGGGCGAAGCCTCCGACGTCGCTGGGCTTGGCTCATTAATTCTTGTGCAAAGCTTTGGCTCGTTTGGGGCTCGCGGTGGCCGGAGCTGCTGTGGGGTCCGGCAGCAGSTGGCCTGGAGCCAGTGGTCACCCCAAGGACTGTGTCCCCGCGTGCTCCACTGCTGGGAAAGAGCTGCTGTGATGCCGCGCTGAGGCTCTTTGACATCGTTTGTGGAATCGTGATGCCCATAAAGGTGGCTCAGCCCCGCTCCATGTCCTCTGGGTCCGCATCCACACCATCCTGTCCAAAGACAAAATTCATCCCCCATTTCCTCCAACGGCTCCTTGACCTCCCCATTCTTGRCCCTGGCCCCGAATGAACCCACCTGTGCACTGCAAAGGGCGGTCACACGATGCCACCAGGCTCCTGCGACCCCCGCCAGCTCCCCACATTTAGAGATCGGCTGCAAAAAGCGGCTCTGGGGGCTTGGTGGGGCTGCCCAGTATCTCCCGTGCCARTGGTTCCATGAAAGGCGTTGCCCAGTCCCTGGGTCTCACTTTTCCTGCTCAGCAGGACGCCCTTATCAGCTGCTCTTGATAGGGATGAGCTCCAGCAGCCTCCGCAGTGTTTTTGCTTCCGAGAGCTGTGGGCCCTGAGCCAGCTGGGGCCTGTGGCCGGCTGGGGGGGCAGGAAGAACTGGACCTTGGAACGCAAAAGGGTGAGCGGGGGCATCCTGGAGGGTTGGAAGCGCGCTCGGAGGCGGCCGGTTGCCGTAGGACCTATTAATCCCTCCCCAAAATTGGGGTTCATTAGCCTGGGTGTAGCAGCCCGGTGACACCCTAATCACCCACTTAGAGGTGAGAGATCCACGGAGCAGCGGGACAGGGACGGGAGCTCCCTCCTGGGGCACCTGTTTGCCCTGTGAGGTGTCACCAGGGGCTGCCCGGTCCCGGTGGAAGCTGGCCCGGGTGTCCCGTGGCTCGGCTCCCAGCAGAGGCGTGGAACCATGGCAGGGCTCGCAGCAGAGCGGTGCAGAGGGGGGGTAGGAGGAACTTTGATGGATGGAATTGCCCCAGAGCTGCATCTGATATGCCAGGGAAGGAGAAAATTAGTCATGAAGGGCTGCTCCACCCGGGGAGGGCGAGCTAACGGAGCGGTTTAACCCTGTGCAGGGCAGCCCCAGCCTGGCATTGATGCTCCAGGCCAGCAGAGCCGTGTCTGGGAGCTGTGCCCAGGGTCGGGGCACTCTYTATTCCCTGGTGGAGGTGCCATGGGCATCCCAGCAGCGATGGGTGCATATCCAGGAGAGCAGGAACATCCTGGGTGATGGGAGCAGTTAGGGTCAGTGTGCCCAGGTGAGCCGGCCCAGTTCAACCTGGACTTGCTGGGCTGGAGGGCGGCTCTTGGAGGAGCAGGGAGCGCTCCTGGAGCCCCGGAGCTGGGCACTGCCCCTGCCACG